CGCTTCAGGGACGGCTCGTCCACGGGGCGCTGTGAGGAGGAGCCGTAGAACACGGCCATCATCTGCAGGGACAGCCGGTGCACGATGTGCACGCTGCCGTCGTGGAAAGCCAAGGCCAGGCCTGGGGACAGGAGACGACCGAGGCTGAGCCAGAGGCTCCTCCCAGTACAGCACAGCCCTCGCCAGGAGCTCTGGCCACCATCGAAGTCCACGTGGCAACGAGGCAGTCAAAGGGCTGGGGGCTCCCAGGCCCCACGTCGGCATTTTGCAGAGATGCCTCTTCCCATGGAAACCCAACAGGATGGCTCGGAGGACACCGTGCCTTTGAAAGTTCTGCATGAGCATTCCATAGGCTCTGCTCCCACTTTTGCTTCAGGTACAGCTCAGAAGTTTAAGTTTCAGGCAAAAGCCACGTATTTAAGAGAAAGACAACAGGAACTCCTTACCCAACCCAGGGAAAAATTTGGTGTCATTTGCCACCTTCAGGTCCGTGTTGGTCAGGGAGATCGGCAGCTTCGGCAGCGCCACGGCTGACACCCGGTCCAGGTCATTGGTGGCAGACAGGATCCGCCACTTCAGGATCATGGGCTGCTTGTCTCCCACTGGGGAAAATGAGCAAGGAAGTGAGACATCCCATCTATGAGATGACATCCCATCTATGAGATAACAGATATGAGAACCTGTGCTGCCTTTCCCCTCAGACCAGGCTCCTGTTCTGAAGAGCACCTGGTGCAGACACTCACCCACAGGTGAGATTTGCTGGAAGATGTTGTTGACTGGCAGGCCCTCCTTCCGCAGGGACCAGCACTCCACGATGCTGTTGTTTTGGTTGGAAGCACAGAGCAGCACCTGCAGAACGGAGCCCCCCGCACGAGCGTCACAACGGGGAGGGCACCGCCCCTGCCATTCCCACCTTCTGCTCCCAGGGTGCTGATCCCAGGCAGGCCATGCCACACCAGTAAAAAGCAGAGGATGGAATCAGTGGGAGGTAACGGTGAGGTCCCCAATTCCAGCTGCACCAAAATGCCAAGGGCATTGCAGGACACGCTGGTCACCTTCAGAGCCCCTGGGGGAGCCAAGGCAGAGCAAACAGCTGCCTCCTTGTTCCTCACTGAACTCCTACCTGCCCTAAGAGCAGCCGCTCACCTGCTCCGACATGTCCCGGGCCAGGAACTTGAGGTGTGTGATGGCCGGGTACTTGTCCTTGCGCGCGGGGTCCGTGGTGCAGCGCATGAACAGCGACGGCAGGATCTCGGTGTCGATCTTGCACTTCTCGTTCACCACGCTGACACAGACCTTGTAGAACTGCACGGGGGAGGTGCTGCTGCCGTCCGACGTGGCCACCACGATGTTGCCCCCGCCCGTGAAGGCGACGTCGGCCAAGGCCACGCGGCAGCGCAGGCGGCACAGGCTCTCGGTGGCCGTCAGCACCTGCCCGTTGGGCTTGAGGAGGGACACGGTGACCAGCCCGCTGATGGTCACGGCAATCCAGCCCTCCATGGGCTTCCCGCCGAACAGCGTCAGCGACGGGGAGAACTTCACCCTGGAGAACTTCTCGCCGAAGTTCGACGCTCCGGACTGGAACAAAGGGCAGCAAAACCGAGGTGTTTGCACTCCGTGCCTGTGGAGCTCTGCTCGTGGGAGAGGGGCAGGATCTCTGCTGCACAACCCCAGGAATTAAAAAAAAACCCAGAAGCAGAGAACTTGTGTTTGGCAGCCTCGGGCTTTGGGAGTCTGCAGAGTCGGACACGTTTCCAAACAGGGAGCCCATCTCCAAACACGGGTCCTGTGCCCAGATCCCTGGATCAACCCTCAGCATCTCGAACACATTTCCCCTGAATTACCACTGGTCAAGAAAGAACTGCTCTATCTCCATGTTTCAGCCCAGAACTAAGGCACCACACTAAGAGACACACATTTAAAGTGCCAAGAGAAACCCAGACTCTAAACCCCATTGGAATCCAGCAGGAACCAGAAATCTGACTTTCCTCTTTGGTAAGAAACTCCCCTACCAGACTTGGCCAAGGTCACAAGGGAGAGGGAGCTCAGAGCAGACAGAACACAAGTGGGATCCCGAGCCCTCTGCCAAGACATGAGCCAGTGCTCCAGCCCAGGTTCCCCCCGGAGCCGGGACAAACCTTCTCCACGTGCAGCGCCAGCTTGACACCGTTGTGCAGCCAGGACAGGGCCACCACCGGGTCCCCCTCCACCACGCTGCCCACTGTGCTCTCCCAGCTGTTGGCCAGGTGATCTGTCATGCTCCAGCACTTGATGTGTCCATCGGCATCCGCCGAGAGCAGCCTGGAGCCTGGGACAGCAGCAATCTGTGAGAACAGGGGGAACAGCCCAAGCCCCCCAGGGAATCACCCTCCATCGCTCTGGGACACAGGGACAGCGAGGAGGGATCCCAGCTCACCCGACTGATCCCACTCCAGACACGTGATGACCTCGGTGTGCCCAGAGTTGACGGAATACACGTCCCAGGGGTGCTCGGTGTCAATGATGTGGACCATGTGGGTGAGATCTGCAAGAACACAGAGGTGAGTCCCCGTCCCTCCTCACCAGCCATTGTTTCTGAGCCCACAGAGCCTCAGCTGACGTGGGGAAAGACATCAAATACTTTATATAAATGATTTTGGGCAGGATAGCAACTGTGCTTGGAACTCAGTGAGGGGCCAGACACCGATGTGGAGCTGGTCCTGGTTTAGGGGAACAGACAGGGAACAACCACCCATTAGACACTGTCAGAGGTTGGGGGATGAGAGGAAAAGCAGGAGCAGCATTCTCTGCAGGGGCAGGGCAGAGCCCTGGCCTCCCGGTCCAGCGGATCCTGGACCCCCAGCGCTCCGGGAGCTCGCAGGAGAGACCTCCCAGCCCTCCGCGGGCACACGGTACCTTTCTCCTCCTCGTTGCGGAGGTCGGTGGTGAAGGCGATGAGGTTGCGGCAGGACCAGGCGCACACGAGGGGGATGGAGGGGCAGTGGTTGCTCTTGGGCTTCTTCTCCCACTCGCACACGTACGCCAGGTCCATCCCGCCGGCCGGGCCCGGGCTCGGTCCCGGTTGGGGGGACAAACGGCCGTCACACGGGCACGGCCCACGGGGACCGGACACGGGCGGGGACTGCCCCGCACCGGGAGAGGCCCCGAAAGGCGGGAGGGGCCGGGGGGGACACAGGACAGGGGGGGTCACAGGACAGGGGGGGA